AAAAATTAAAAAATTATGGATGATATGATGAAAAAATTAAAATAAAAATGGTAAAAAAAATAAAAATTAGTCATTTTTTTTTTTTTTTTAACCTTTGTCCTGTTCAGCATTATAGAATAAAATACATATTAGAATAGAATAGAATAATTTATTGATCCCACAATGGGGAAAAGTACACGTGATAGCAGAAAAATGGAAAAAGCACAGTGGAGGCATGAAAAAATAAAGGCTATTTACAATGCAACAAAATAAATAAAGGTAAATTACAAGTGAGAGTTATCAAAAAAAGAATAATATGATTATTAAAATGAATAACCATATTACCAATTGACTACCAAATATGGATAATTTGCTACCATAATTATACTAATTATAGCAGGATGAGTGGTGAATAAACTTTGTTTATTACATTAAACCCCATTCACTATCACAGTGTAACACACAATTATTCATCAGTAGGACATCTTAAACATATGATGTCAACTTGAGTAGAAAAATCCTTAAAAAAAGACATTTTTGACAAGAATATTCTCTTTTTTTATGCCTTAAGAATCTAAAAAAAAAGGATTGTGATCCAAAGGAGGTGAACGAGGCTCAGCGGAGGTGAAAATGAGGAAAATGTAAACACTTTCAGTTTGTGGTTAAAAAAAACACACCAAAAAAAATCTGACTCAATCAGCAAAAGTTTGCCTGTCTCGGTGTGACCTTTGACCCCCAGGTCTGGGCTGGAGATCTCCTGAAATGACTCACAGAGTCAGACGTGTGTCATGAGGCCTAAAAGGGGAACTCCCTTTCCCTCTGAGAGCTTTTTTCTACGATTTCCTTTGAGCCCCGAATGTGTCACAGGTTGTATCAAAGAGCCCCCGCGTTTGTTTCTCCACAACCTGCTGCGTTTCCTCTCAGAGAGCTCCAGGTTCTCTGAGTTTGGGGCCAATTTCAGCTTCAGGTGAAGCTACAATCACCCGGAACTCAGCCAAACATCGAATCGAATTGGAAAAAAAAGGCTGATTATTATCCAATTAGTCATTTAGACCCAACCTTTTTGGCACGGACCGGCTTAATGTCAGACAGTATTTCCAGGGACCGGCCTTTGAGGTGTGGAGGATAAATACAACAAAATAAAATATTATGATCTGCATGAAAACGGTGGTATTTTCTAAATATAATAACAATGTCAGGGAGGTGGATCTTGGAGGGAGGACTCAGTCGCGGAGATTCAGAAAACAAGGTTTATTGTAGCAAAAAGACGCACTCAAAAGAGTGGATGTCAAGACAAAGTTCAAAACAAGGCTGTGGCAAAAACTATGAACAAAGTAACAAAGCAAGATTACATGACTGTGAAAAAACATGGCTGTGACAAAAACATGGCTATGACAAAAACATGGCTGTGACAAAAACATGGCTGTGACAAAGACATGAACAAAGTATCAAATAAGGTAAACAAGGCTATGGCGAAAACATGGCTATGGTACAAAAACAAGACTATGGCAATAAAGTAAACTAGGCTGTGACAAAATCAAACCTGACGTGGGGTGACGGAAACAGACAGACGAAGAGACGAAAACGCACTGGCCCAGGACATGGGAAACGAGGACTATTTAAACACATGAGGGAGGGGAACCCCAGGTGTAAACAATAGGAAATCAACACATGACGAGACATGATTTAGACCAGCGGTCCCCAACCTTTTTTGTTTAATGTCAGACAGTATTTTCAGTATTTTGAAGTGTGGAGGATAAATACAACAAAATAAAATATCATGACCTGCATGAAAAGTGGTATTTTCTAAATATAATAACAATAAACACGAATCCACTCTACTGGTTTGCTTCTGGCGAATGGCTTTTTAGCCTTAGCGATACGATTAGCCACCAGGTATGATCGCATTTTTTGATGTGGTGGACCTCAGTAATTGTTTCTGTCCTTCTTGTTCGCGCTTTTTTCTTTCAAAATACTCCAAAGCAGGGGTGCTCAGACTTTTTCAGCATGGAGCTACTTTTGAAATGACCAAGTCAAAATGATCTACCCGTTATATTTATTGAGAAATATATTGAGGATTCTTACAACTTTTGTTGATGTATAACCACATATTGATGTATAACCACATGTTGATGTATAACCACATATAGATGTATAACCACATATTGATGAATAACCACATATGCACATATGGATCTATAACCACATATGGATGTATAACCACATATTGATGTATAACCACATATTGATGAATAACCACATATGCACATATGGATCTATAACCACATATGGATGTATAACCACATATTGATGAATAACCACATATGGATGTATAACCACATATGGATGTATAACCACATATTGATGTATAACCACATATGGATGTATAACCACATATTGATGTATAACCACATATTGATGTATAACCACATATTGATGTATAACCACATGTTGATGTATATAACCACATATTGATGTATAACCACATATTGATGTATATAACCACATGTTGATGTATATTAAGGAATATTTTAAGTTTTGGTAAGTTTTTCTCAATGAGGGACAGTTTTTAGGCCCGGTTTTTACTCACAACATCAACAAATATGTGAACTTTCAGCCGTTTCCTTCCCGGAAAAGTCTCCAATTCTGAAACTATCAATATTACAAACAGGAAATAAAGCAATGTCTAAATTTCTTGGCTGTTTTTCTCATTGAGGGACAGTTTTTAGGCCCGGTTTTTGCTCAAATGCCATCAACATCAACAAATAAGTGAAGTTTA